CATTCTCTGATGAGAATACGTAGGCATAAAGTGCGACGCTTTGCCGAGTCATTTTATTTTCATTTCAGACCAGCCTTGATAGGTAGATAGTAAACAAACCCGTCAGATAAACACAGCAAGCGTGGATCCCATCGAGTACGATGGACGTGAGGGGTGCTAATACCTTCCCCTTGCGTAACCGACTCCCGAACCCTGACAATGGTTGCGATGACCTTGTCTTATACCTTTTCGTCAGGTTTTTCTGATCGTTTCCTTTCCCGTTCTGAGGGATAAATAACGAAAGGTGACGACTCTTCTGTTTTGCCGGCACCTTATTTTCGCGGTAACGACAATGCCCTTCATCCCAAATAATCCTCTTTTTAATTCCAAAACTAATATTCTTATTTTCTTTTAATCCAAAATTAATTCAAATAATATTTTTAAATACAATAATAATAACAATAATATTAATAATAATATAACAACACTATTAATCATCATATTATCATTATTATTAATCATATTTTTCTAATATTATGGATCTTAATTTCTCAAGCAAATTCCACGCAAACATGCCGAAAAATAAATACATCGAAAAACTTGAATAATTAAAATGGGCGTCACAACTAACATCTCCATTGAAGTTTGTGGAAGTTTTCTGGTTGTTTTCCCCTAAGTTTCATCACCAAACCAAGGCCCAACGGAGGCACTCCGTTAGGTAAGCTATCATTCACTATTGCTCTCTGTTCATGCCATAATCACATGCCATTTTCATATGTTCATGATCCTCTAGCACCATAGATCGTTTCTGGTTAGGTTTAATGCTTGTTCTTGACAACTCTTGAAAACTGCTTGATTATAGTTTGGTTCGTATTGGTTGATTTAGGAGTGATAAATGAAAACTAAGGTTAGATTATTGATCAGTGCAATGTGTAGATGAGTTTAGACTCCAAGATTTTAAGTTTTGGTTGAGTATGGAATCCTTTGCATTTTTTGATGGCCGGAGAAGACGAACGGAGCCACCGTCTGGTTCGTCCTCTCCGGCGTGTGCTTTTAACCTCAGGCATCCTATGTGTCATTCCAACTCACGTTTTGACTTGTTGACCTATCTGGAACCAACGTCTTGGATTTGATCTGAAGCGCGTTTGACTCACTTGACTGCCATGTTGGATTAGTAAAACAGAGCATTTTGCTCTCAGGCTAGGTTATTTGGATCTTGGGCCTTAGATACTATTGACACCCCCCTGCGTTCTGACCCATTGTATTAACTGGATTTTGTTGCTATTTGTCGCAGCCTTTTTCCATTTTTATTTTCTTTTTCTTATTTTCCCATTTATTTTGCTATTGAGTTTTAATTCATAAAAAATACCTCAATGCATGTAAAAAAATCATAGAAAAATATTTTGTTGTACTTTTAGATGTTATCTGATTTTACAAATTTTTTGGATTAATTTTTAAGCCATTTTTCAATTAAAAGTTGATTTTCCATTTTGAAGTATTTTATGTGAATTGAAAAATGCATATCTTTTGCTCTTGATTTCATTTTGTGATAAAACTTTCATATAAATGTTTGATTTTTCTTATGCATATCCATGACATGTTGGGTGATTTTTGTGACATTTTTACCCCTGGTTTTATTACCATTTGGTTAGGGTTTTAGTGTGTTTTTTAGGACCCTCGACGTGCACTAGTTTTTAGGGTATCCCTTAGAGATTGTCCTCTGTTTGCCTAGCCTTGTTTAGGCTTTTTCCCCATAGCTTTGGCCCCTGGTTCTTAACACCTTAGGGGCCATCTAGGATTTTATTTGGTATTTTTTGGATATGTGTGCTATTTTTAGTGTATTTTACATTCTAGCCTACCCTTATATGGTTTTCACCTTGATACATGAACTTGTTTGTATTTTATTTGGGTTTTGTGCAATGTTGGAGCCTCCAATCTTTGCGGATTCATGTCACATACATGTTAAGGTGTTTGTATGTTCAATTTTGGGCTCTAATTGTGTTCCTAACTTGTTTAAGTTTGGCTTTATTTTAGACCTATCTTTTAGGGTTCCATGTGTGCATGTATGTGAATGTTTACACTCTTTTACATGATTCCTTTGCAAATTTGTGTGCATTCCCTTTCAATTACTTTGTGTACACTCTCTTCTTTCATCTCTCTCTGTCCTAGGACTTTGGGCTCCTACTTGTGGAAGCTTAGTTCCTCCTTTTGAGAAACTTAAGGCATGCCATAAGTGGTTGAACCTTTGAAGACTATTTGTGTGATTTGTGTGCATATTGGATGTAGTATGTTTGATTGAGTATCCCTTGTGAGTTCCCTTGGTTCTCACTTTGCCTCCCATCATCTCATTCAATCCTCTCCTTCTTTCCCTTTCATGTTGTATGATTTTATGCATCAGGCTTGAGGTATGCATGTTGTAAGCTTTCATTTCTTGTTTGCATTAGAGGTTGAGATGAGCTTGTGGAGGTTCTCACCTCCACACAATTTCCTCCCTTTGCTTGTGTGTTGCATTGCATATGCATTCATTCATTCATTTCTATTTCATGTTTTATATCATGTTCTCTTCTTCTCTTCTCTTACCATGCTCCTTTAGGACTTTCAATCTCCTTGTTTAAGGATGATTGTGATAGACGCTAAGTTTCAAACCATGAGAACATTAAGTAGAATTCTCTTCTTAATCCTAACATTAGGACCATGATGCATGACAACTACTAGGTTTTGAACTAGTTTCCCTTTAGTTTGTCCTCTCTCTTTCTCATCTCAAAACAACTTCAAAATACTTAACAAAGGCTAATGAATATTGTGCGTTACGAGCCTTAAGTACTTGGGAAATGGTTATTGGGGGTTTCCTCTTGATGGCCTAGAGTGTTTAGTGTTCACCCTTTGGGTAATCTGCGACGCATTCGATCTTAGGTCATAGTCTCTAGTGCAATATGAATTACAAACAATTCAAAACACTTCTCCTTAAAAGACTTCAAAAACAAATGATCAAACTTCATTTTGTCCCTTGGAACCCTTAACAATGGAAAACCTTTTCATAAAAAGAGTTTCGTTAAATCCTAGTTCTACCGCAAACAGGTAACACTTAAGTCTCCAATGGTCGAGCTGCATACACCTAATTGCTAGAACTGTTTGTTAACCCTACTCAGGTAAAAACTTTTGAACCAACCGGTGTTTTAGTTAGCCCGAACTACGTTTGCTCTGATTTCTCATACCAGATGAGAATACGTAGGCACAAGACGCGATGTCTTGGCGAGCAACCTTCCCCCACCTTCATCTGTAGTTAGACGAACTACGTTTACTCTGACTTTCCCATTGCACGAGGGAATACGTAGACACAGAGCGGCGATGCTCTGTCGAGTCTCTTTTCTTTTCTTTTGTCCTGTGAGACTTTAGCGTAGACAATTTAAACACACCCTTAGATATACAACAATCGTGAATCCCGTCGAGTACGACGGACGTGAGGGGTGCTCATACCTTCCCCTTGCGTAACCGACTCCCAAACTCAGGACTTGGTTGCGATGACCTTGTTTTTTCCTTTTTCGTTAGGTTTTTCCGATCGTTTCCTTTCCCTCTCTTTGGGATAAATAACGAAAGATGACGACTCTTCTGTTTTCTGCCGGATATTTTTCGCAATTGCGATACATGACTAACTCAATCATTCTTGATATATTTACACCGCTTTCTTTACTTTGTTTTAGATTTGTTTTAAGTGAAACTGAATTTAGAACTACCATTTATATTTCTCTCTCTGCTCATGTTTAAATTGAAAGAATAGTCATTATACAAAATTAATGTAACTAATCATATCACTCTCTCAAAAATAATAATCTTAATATGTTAAAATGCTTATTTAATTAAAACATGACCGCCGTGTTTTAAAAACCGATTCAGCCATTTATCATGCAATATCATACAACATCATAGCATTAAGGGGTCTAGAAGATTACATGGTCAAGGAGCGTGTGGCCAAACAAATAAATTATTGGTTAAATTAAATTACGGTATATTAATTGTCTTTTTTCAATTTCTTTCACGAGTAAAGATAAATATTTATTTGATAAAATTTCTATTTTTTAATACTTTTTAAGTTTTCCAAAACGATATTCTATTTTACAAGTTTATTTTTAATTTTTTAAAAACAAAAAAGTAAAAATTATAAAACAACCTTATAAAAAATACGGATAATTTATCCTTCGACATATATTAATCAAATAATAATGTATGTATTTCAATAATAAAAAATATTAATGATCTTAATTATATACACAATTATTTAATATCGGTTTATTAATTTAAATATAAAATTTTATTTTTTCATTTATACATATCTATTTATAAATAGCTCTATGTTATAATAAATAATTTATCCATCTTTTTGTCAAGACAATCTAAAAAAAAACATTAACCAATTTTTTTTATATGAATTAATTAGCACATATTTTCATTAATTTAATTAGATGATCCATTCAATTAACATGTTAAACTAATTACTGATTTGATTTTTTGATTTAATCTGTTCAACCCGGCCTATCCAAACCGACTTTTAAAACAATGTGATAGTTTAATATGATAATTTTAAATTATCAAATTATTTTTTAAAAGACACGATAAAATATCTAATGATATTTAATTTAGTTAAACTTTCCTCTTATTCATTTTAAAATAAATAAAGAAAAACTTGTAACTGTTGTGTCCACATGAAATGCATCAAACCAACATGAAAATTACAAGAAAACAACAAGTGACAAAGTTTGAAAAAGTGTAGGCAGCAAGTTGGAGAAACCTGTGTGCTATGCTCTAATTGTTGTTGAATTTCTCGCTGTCACCTTTCTGATTCATAAATATTATTCTAACACCAACTCATTTCTCTCCTTATTCTCATCTACCTTTTCTCTCTCTCTCTCTCTCTCTCTCTCTCTCTCTCTCTCTCTCTCTCTCTCTCTCTCTCTCTCTCTCTCTCTCATACTTCAACAACATTAACAAACAACATAGTTACACCTTCTCCATTGTTTTGATTAATGGCTCATTCGACTACCTCTTCAGGTTTTATCTTCGACCTTTTTCACTGTTTTTATTGGTTATGTGTGTTATTGTTTTGGTTGAAACATGTACTATTTTCATTGTTTTTTGTTGTTTGGTTGAGATAAAGTTTTTATGTTTGGGTTTTTGGGATTATGGGTTTTGCTCTATTTATGATTTGTTTTTATTGAATCTGATAAAGACAAGAATCAAGATCATGTGACATTTCTTCAATCATTTCTAGTCTTAAGATTTGTATAGTATTGTATTACCATTTGGTAGTTGATGTATGATATGAAAAATCTTGTTGGATTTTAGAGGAGTGTGTGCGCTATGAATCTGCAACAGATACACCAGACACAATACTAACTCAGACAACAAACACAATACTGACACGTAGGCATAGAGTGTCTCGGATATATAGTTTATGCGAGAACTTGGATCCTCGGTAGTTAAAATATCATGTAGTTATATGCGGTAATCAATTTCAGCATTTGATTTGAGATTGGATGGTTCAAATTATGCTGTCACTAAATTAACTTTAAATGATCTCGATCATGAAGAATCGAATCAACTCAAACATGTTCTCATATGTGCCTTTTCTTTCTCCATAACACATATCCATCAAGTTAAAAAAATGGTAATTCAAGTTTGAGTATTAAATATTAACTGGTAGCAAACAGAACCATCTAATGTATCATTAGTTCAAACAATGCAATTCCCAGATACCTACATTTATGCCCCTGATGCAGACTCAACTTAAATGCTTGTATACCAAACGAAGCTGTTGTAACTGTGCCACGTAGTTACAAAACTCGAACAACTGTATCCCCTCAAAAATAGGTTCCCTAGGTTGTTTACGATAACTGATTATCCTTAGGAGAGTGTGGGAGAGGTAGGTATGCAGTGAAGTTCATTCTTTGTTCATGAGGAACTGTGTTGATTTGGTTGAGTCGGCTCCTCGCTTGTTGTTTCGACATAGTTAGCTGTGTTTGGTATAGGATATTCAGATGGTTGGAGTGGCAGGTAGTCAGTTCCGAAAGATCCTAGTTTTTTTGGGAGTTTTCTTTCTTTAGGTTGTAGGCGAAGTCTAGGGATGGTTTTTCTATGATTTTCCATGCAGTAGTTTGGACTAATTGGAGAGTCGAAATGATATAATCTATTGTGGTTCTTTGACAAACATGAAAGAAGTGGAGTAAAAAAGTCTTTTTTGACTTGAAAATGGTTTTTGGGTAGATCCGAGGGTAACTCTTATACCTTCTCAATATGTTTTCAGAACTCTATCCTTTAGATTAACCAATAACGGATCGAGGTTCTAGTCTGGTTTAGATCATGTGTGATTTTTCGTTCATTCCTTAGTGGTCTCTTATATGTTGATGGTGGTGTTGTTGACTTGAGATCTAACTTGCTTCTTCTTTGAGTTGGAGCTAATTGAGCCATTTCCCCTGTAAATTTTTCTCAAATTATTATCAATTTCGACCGGTTAGTATCATGTCTAGTGTTCGAAGTGTATTGATTAGAGCTACTACTTTTTTTGCAGTTGAAACCAATGGTCTTACAAAAGAACACCATAAGGAAACAAGTTCATTGGTTGTTTCCTTTGGGGAAATGCTAATAGACTTTGTGCCAACGGTCGGAGGAGTGTCGCTCGCCGAGGCACCGGCTTTCCAGAAAGCTCCTGGTGGAGCTCCTGCCAATGTGGCTGTTGGTATCTCTAGACTAGGGGGTTCATCTGCTTTCATAGGCAAGGTAAAATTTCAAATAAGTTTCTTTTGATCTGTTTTGTTATTTGATTTCTTCACTTTCTTGTTACTATCTATTCGCACATCATCGAAGATGTTGTTCTAGTTTCAATACCAAATATTCCGATTAATTCTTTGCTTATATTGGTATTGTATCTTTTCTTATTATTTCATACTGACACTAAAACACGATACAAACACTCTGACACCTGCTATAAAAACTTCAGAAAAATTGGAAAATCATATCTTATTTTCTTAATGTCTGTGTATAAGGTTGGAGCAGATGAATTTGGTTACATGTTGGCTGATATTTTAAAGCAAAACAACGTCGATACTTCTGGCATGCGTTTCGACGCTAATGCAAGAACTGCATTAGCTTTTGTCACGCTTAGGTCTGATGGCGAGCGCGAGTTTTTGTTTTTCCGTAATCCAAGTGCTGATATGCTTCTTCAAGAATCAGAACTTGATAGAAATCTCTTAAAGCAGGTACTTTGAAATTTTATTTGTTTTTGTTTCTCAAAGTTCAAAAACTATGGTTCAATAAATGATGTTGATTGATACATTGATTTTTCAGGCTAGAATTTTCCATTATGGTTCGATTAGTTTAATCGATGATCCATGCAAGTCAGCACACATTGCTGCCATGAGCATTGCCAAAAGCTCTGGTTGCATTCTCTCTTATGATCCGAATTTGAGATTGGCATTATGGCCGTCAGCCGAGGCTGCTCGGAATGGCATAATGAGTATATGGGATCAAGCTGATCTCATTAAGATAAGTGAAGATGAGATTACATTTTTGACCGGAGGTGATGATCCTTATGATGATGATGTTGTTTTGAAGAAACTTTTTCATCCTAATCTCAAACTTTTAATTGTTACTGAAGGATCTAAGGGTTGTAGATATTATACAAAGGTATGCTTTTCTAATCAATTACATACGATATAGACACTGACATGTCGTGATACTTTGAATCTAATCAGATGTTAGTATTATATCAACTTTAAAACTAGCTTATTTTCACAAGCTCTTCAAAATACGTTATGAAAACATCTTATAACTTATATGACTTATACGGACACTTATAGTTATGTGATAAGTGTTATATACTTTAAGCGCTTAATTAAGTTATTTATTCAAACATGGCCTAATTGCGGAGCCAAATTTCTGCGCAGGAATTTAAAGGCAAGGTTGAAGGTGTTAAAGTTAAACCTGTTGACACAACTGGTGCTGGTGATGCATTTGTTAGTGGAATTCTATACACTATAGCTTCTAACCAAACTATTTTCAAGGTGATTTTTAATCTTCACTCATTCTTGAATTATATTAAAACTAAATACTTTATTTTCACATTAATCGACCGGCAGAAGTATTCATGGATCGGTTTGGTTTAGTTTCAGGAGAATTTAGTTTCAGGAGAATTTGATGTTCAAATCGATTAAAAATATGTGAATTGATTTAAATTGGATTTGCACATTTTTGTGATAAAACTTAAATCAAACCCATCCATAAACAATGAATTGGTTTGTGTTAGATTGATTGGATATATTAAAAACAAATATACAAAAATAATTTTTAAAATATCTAATTCAGATCAATTATTTTTTAAAAAATAATATAAAATTCTTATACTTTTTTATTTTTCCATATTAGTTGTGAATATCACAAACAATGTTTCAATTTTTTTTAATTTAAATGTCTTAGGCTAGTTTTCATAATATACTAATTAATTATGATTGGTTCGGATAAATAGACTCACCGATAGAATTTTGGAAATATGTTACTCAAATCAATTAATTTCGGATTTCATTGGTTTGATTCGGTTTTTGTCTGAACTAAAAAATGCCCAAACCAAATATTATGGTTTGATTTGAGTTCCGATTTAGTTCAGATTTGTCCGAACCAATGAACACTCCAGTTGGTTTAAAAAAATCAGTATAAAAAAATTGTTGGTATTTATAAATAATAACTTTAAAAAAATAATTATCTTCATATTTGCGTATTTTCTGCTTAATTTTAAGATTAATTGATATCCATTTTTTTGCAGGATGAGAAAAAACTGAGAAAGGCTTTGTATTTTGCAAATGTATGTGGTGCCATAACTGTAACAGAAAGAGGTGCAATTCCTTCACTTCCTACAAAGGAAGCTGTTTTGCAATTCTTACTAGAAGCAGCTGTGATATAACCTTATGATTTCTTGAGATATAGCTTAGAATGATATTTACTAGGCTTCTGAAAAAAAAAACTACAAAATTTAAATTCTTTAGACTTGTAATTTTTTGTTAATAAATTCGCGCTCTCGATTTTTTTTTGTTACTGACGACCGCCAAGAATTAATGTTTTAGTTTTTGAAAGTTCTTTATATTTAAAACTTTATTTAAATAAGTTTTTTTTTGGTTCTGTTACACAATAGTTGATGTATATTTGATTATTTCACTAAGAGAATATATAAAAAGAGAATAATGTTTTTATTCAATATCTATTACTATTTTGTCAAATTATAATATTATGACTAAATTAAAATTTCAAGTCTAAAACATTAGCCTAAGGCTGGCCCGGAGTGGAAAATATTAATGTTAGAAATGATTGAAGTAATATTAATGAGAGGTATACTTAAAAAGTATACATTGATATTGAATGAAAAAAGAGAAGATAATTTTGAAAATTTTGATAAATTTTAGGGGTATGGTTAAATGGAGTATGGTATGGATAGTAGCATAGCTCCAATAGTAACCTATGGGCTTTTTAGTTGGACCGAGCCTAGTTTTGAAAGTTACATTCATAAAATGGTGATTATTCTTCTTAAGTGTTATTTTCGTACTATGTGAAAAATCCAAAATGTCCCTCAAATAAGAAAATGTATTTTCATACGCATTACAATTCACACTCAATTTATTCGTAAGTGAGTCAAATACGAAAAATGTATCTATGTATAACTTACGAAAATGCATTTGGAACTAAGTTTTAATAAAAAAATGCACCAAACTTTCTCCCCTTCATCATTTTCAACAAAACACACAAATCTTCTCAACTCACTTTCAAGTTTTTCTCAAAATAAGACACTTTCAAGTTTCATTTCTATTTTATTCAATCCAACTGGATTGTCAATTTCTACTCACAACATCCAATCAATTGAAGTGTTCAACATCAATTACACATTTAGTAAGTTTTTGAATCCAAGTTTGTTTTCACATTTAATTTTCTATACATGCATTTTGAAATAGGAACATTAGATTGTGTAATACACATTAATATATAGGTGGTTATAATCATGGTTAGGTAGTATAGTTGAGCATTTTGAGCATTTTTGGTTTTTCTGCATCTCTACCATTTGTGTTTTTTTAGTTACGTGTTCTACTTGTCAAAAAGTACAAAAGTGTGTGGTATCCCTATGCATGTAAGGGATACTCATAGGCCTTAGTAAATGATGGTGGTTAAGGCTTATTCACGGCGGCGTGATACCATGTTTGGTGATGTTTATAGTGGTTAGGGAGGGCTAACTCACATGAGGTGAGAGGCTATGTGTGTTTCAATGTTTTGTCGAGGATATGATGTCTTCTCTTTTCCTCATTCCAAGAATGAGATATTTAAAGAGACTTCTTGGGCACAGGCTAGAGATCTAGATACTGGTTTGCCCTAGCTTCATGGCTAAGGAATGTGGTCATGGGAGGACTTTTTCACCTTTGATTGTAGGGAGAGCAATTTTCTCTTTTTTGACTAATCTTTTGTCAGTTAGTCATTGTAGTCCCTGTGGAACCTTGTTTTGCAGGTTGCTTTTAGGTTACATGCCTTTAATAAGTACAACAATTTTTGATGATGAAAACTAATGTTTAATGATGGTAACTAGTCCTTAATGAAAAATCAAGCATAAACAGTTAAAGATGGAAACCAAGATATTAGGGTTTGATGCACTTGACTATCCAATGATGGCAACCAAATGGAATATAAATCAAGTCTCATCTCAAGTGAACTTAAGCAAGTGTCTACAAGAAAGAAAGCATCAGAATAAGAATATCAAGAATATCAAGAAAATCCTGCAAAAGATGGTTGTAACCTACAAGGATTGACATGAAATGATTACTTTTACATTGCATGGATATCAGACGTTTGTCCACACTTCAACAGGGGCAACCCATTTCTCCTTAGTTTTTGGCATGGAAGCAGTGCTCCCTATAGAAGTTGAGATCCCATCAACGCGAGTCTTGATGGAAGCCAAGTTGACAAAAGCTGAATTGTGTCAGGACATATATGATCAGTTGAATCTAATTGAAGATAAGAGAATGACAACCTTATATCATGGTCAGTTGTACCAAAAGAAGTTGAAAAAAAAATTTGATAAGAAGTTTCGTCCTCATGAATTCAGAGAAGGTGACCTCGTGCTCAAAAAGATCTTGCCTCCCCATAATGATTCCCGAGGCAAGTGGAATCCCAATTACGAATGCCCATATGTTATCAAGAAAGCATTCTCTAGAGGTGCATTGATTCTTACAACTACGAATGGTGAGGAGCTTCCTCGTTCGACAAACGTCGATGCAACCAAGAAATACTTCGCCTAAATAATAAAAAAAAACAACTCGTTAAGTTAAAAACCCGAAAGGACGACTTAGATAAAAATGAGCGTCTTGGTGGACTGAAAACCTGAAAGGGCAGTGTAACACCCCAAAATTTGTCTCATCGCTTTTTACCTACTCGCTTATGTTTCTCTGCATTTTGCATTTATGCATATCATGACAATGATTCTTGAGACATGGGATCACGGTGTTTCTATGGTGTAGGGTTTCTTTTTATTAAAAGAGTTTAAACAGCGAGCGTCAGAGGCATCGACATTTATTTTGCCCAGCAATCATGACAATGATTCTTGAGACATGGGATCACAGTGATTCTTGACAATGATTCTTAAGACATGGGATCACAGTGTTTCTATGGTGTAGGGTTTCTTTTTATTAAAAGAGTTTAAACAGCGAGCGTCAGAGGCATCGACATTTATTTTGCCCAGCAATCGAGTTCCTGATTTTATTTTATTCAGCATGTTATTTTCAGCACAGAAGACAGGTCACAGGATATCTCAGGCATTTTCACAGTTATAATATCCAAGGGCAAGTTTCAGAGGCTTAACGGGGCTCAGAACGGGTGAAAACAGGTGAATGTGCAAGTTTCCCTCTAAATGGCGCATTTTTTAAAATTTGTGAGTGGTTAACCGATTAACCAATTTGCACTAGCAAATGGTTAATCGATTAACCAAAGGAAAATTTGGACAGATACGTGCATTTTCAATGCTGCCACTTTTGGGGTCCATTTTGATCAATTGTGAATTGATTGTTACACCAGAAGAAGGATCTAGAATCACTTAATTTTGATTAACTTTCAAAATCAATCCAATTTATCTCAAAATTTCCATTCCTAATACCATTCCCATTTTCAAAACCTCACCCCAAACCATAATTCTACTCCTAACCAAGAGCCTATTTAAATGAATTGGCTCCAAACCTCAAAGGAGAACCCTCATAATTCCAATTTTTAGATTTCACACTCATTCATTCTCTAGAGCTTTCTCTCAAATTCTCTCAATGTTTCTACACTCCAAAACTCCATTAAAGCTCTTTCACTTGAGTTCATTAATTCTTCATTGGAATCCTTGAATCCTATAGCTAAACCTTCATCATTCATCTTCATCATCTTCAATTCATCATTTGATTTTCATTTGGATTTGGATCTGATTTTGGAAGCAAGCTTATAAGTGATTCTTGGATCTATTTTGGCTTGTTATTCACTTCTCTTGCAAGAAAGCTCTTGGATTTTGAAGATTTCTTGGGTTTCTAGCTTGAATCTATCAATTTGTAGTAAATCAACGCTTACCAAAGCAAATCTTAGCTTTGAAGGTTGGTTAATTCTAGATCCACTTCTGATTTGAACTTATTTGGATAATCACAATGTAGATCTTCAATTTTAATTGATTTTGGTGATTTTGATCTATGTGATTTGTGATATTAATGCTTGATTAAGTTTGATTGATGTTTGATCACTGATTTTTGGTGTTAAATTCGTGCATAATTGATTACATGATCATTTGGATGATTTAACATTGAATAAATTGTTGAAAGTGCTTTTGAATTGCTATTTTTCTGCTTTTAATGCAGTGTTAATCGATTAACCAGCTGTAGTACAAAACTGGTTAATCGATTAACCAGTGTAAATTCAGCCATTTTTTAGTGGTTAATAGATTAACTAGTTTACACTAGCAAATGGTTAATCGATTAACACTGGACCAGAATGTGAGTTTTGGTTGTTTTCAAGCATGTTTTGATTTATTTTCACCTCTAACCTTCATGGATTGATATGATGCATTTGTGTGGACTGTTTTTGACCTGTTTCATCATGCTTGATTGTTTGATTGCGATTCTTCGACGCGTGACTTTTGGTTTTCGCTTGAATGCTTAACATGTTCATGTTACTTGATTGATGTGATGATCATATGCTTTGCTTGCTTGTATCATGTTAATGATTAATTGTTGATGATTATCTTGCTAGACTTGTGATGCATGTGTGTTTTCTTCTGATTCCGTTTGTCGCATGATCGTTTAATTGCTTGAATTGATATGAAAAACATGTTGTTCTTGATGATTCTTGATGATGCAATATTGTTGAAAATTTGTGTTTGATTGTTGATGCTTGTCCATCCTTGCATGATGATTGTTCATGATTGATGCTTTCTCATGTTGATTGCATTGAAACATGCTTGCTGCCCTACTTTCTACAGTTGTTTTATTCTGAATTTACATGTTGTCTATGATATGCTTGTTTGCTTCCTGCCTTTTACACCTACTTTTGTGTTGAATTAGTAGCTGTTAAATGTTGTGGTGCTGCCTTGCTGGACGTTATTGTTGTTTTATGCAGGAAGCGCTGTTGTAGCCGCTGTTTTTACCTTGTTTTCTTGCTTTTTGCTTTGCATGCTCCCTTAGGACTCCTAGTCCAATTTAATTTGCGATTAAAGTTTGGATTAGGATAGACATTAGGAGTGTAATCCATGCATGATAACAAGTAGGCTAGTCCCATTTAACTTCATCCTTAGGTCCATCTTTTGCATGCTAACATTAGGATAGAATTTCCTTTCGCATCCCGACCTTAGGGCCATTTTGCATGACAATGCTAGGACCGAGTTTCCCTTAGACCTTTTGAGACGGCCGA